GGGGGGGGGGCAGGGTCACCAGCAGTGTTGTTACCACTCCCCCACCAGCTCCATTTCTGTCAGGTTTTCTTAGTGGAGACTCCCAGTGGGACATCTACCTGCTGTGATGTTTCGGCATTTGTTCCCAGAAGCCGTCCTCCACTGATCGAACCAGTAAAGGTAAAACTGATGGTCACTGTCAAACGAACTTCAGTGGAGCAAGGGGGGAGGGGGGAGACACCACATGACCCACGAAACACATTTTGATGCACGATAAAGCATTTTAAGAGAAATACACAGTGTATTTCTTAAGGTCAATTTTCCTGGTCAAGGGCTGTGGGCCAGGGTGCGACCTGCACCCCACAGCCCTGCCCGCTCTGGGAGCTGGAGTCCCAGCAGGTTGTCCTTGTGGGGTGTGTATGGGTGTGTGCTTACCACCGTGAGTCAGTGCCAACTCGCAGTGACCCTACAGGACAGGGTAGAACTGCCCCTGTGAGTTTTTGAGACTGACTACGGGAGTAGAAAGCCCTGTCCTCCCGAGGGTGGACTGGCGGTTTCAAACTGCGACCTTGTGGGTAACTGCTCAGTATATAACCACTATGCCAGCTGGGCTCCTGTAGGCGTGTGCAGGTGGATTTAAGAACACCACTCTTGAGTCCCCCATAGTCTGGGTCAGCCACTCCCATACACGTTCCCTCCGCACACCCGGGGGACCATTCAGGACCAGAAGAGGGCATCTAGCCCTAATGCACTTGGGTCTCAGCTCTGAGCCCTGTGTAAGTAACCTTTAGAACCTGGGTGGGAGCTGACCTTGGTCCCAACTGCAACCCTAGGTCATGTGGGAAAAATGTCTGAAACAACTCAGATGGATGAAGAAACTTCTCTAACCCAAACCCCAGTTGCTCTTTTTTCTGTTAAAATTCATGCACTGTACATAATTCATGCACTGCACAATTCAATAATTCAAACGTCTGAGTTGTCTCTTAAAAATAATTCTTTGCAATAGAGATTCTCCAAGTCAGAGACACCCTCTGGTCACCCAGCTGCCTAGTGAGCCAGTGATATTGGGTCTGAAGCATCTAGACATTTTCATGTGCGCGGTGCTCATCCAGCAAATAGAAACTGCCCTTAGAGACTGACTCCCCCCAGGGGCATGCCAACACACCAGGAACACCTGGCTTCCCCAACCCCTGTAGAACTGTACCGGAAAGCATAGTGTTTCCCCTGGAAAAGGAAGGGGCAGCTCCGAGGGCTAAGGACAGCAATAAGTGAGCACATGGGCCTGCCCCAGCCGCCAGGTTGTTGCCATCGAAACCTGGTTGCCAAGAAGAAATGTTGCCAGTTGGCCCAGAAGGAAGGGCTCCCCCCCACCCCAAGAAAAATGACATCTTCCAAAAACCCAACCCAGACTCTGCCGTCAAATCAATTCCAACTCGGCGACCCTGGGACAGAGTAGAGCGGTCCCTGCGGGTTTCCGAGACACGTAGACTGGATAGGTTCAAACCGCTGACCTTTTAGCTGCTCGATGTGTATCCAGCACACTACGCCCCCGAAGCTCCTAGAAATGACGTCTTGGGTGGCAGGAAGAGGAGACGAGCAGAGAGAACCAGCTGAAGGTTGCTGTAAGGACAGACAGTGCCCTTGCTTGGTGGGCGGGGAGGGCCTTTGAGGCCACCTACTACTCTGACCCCAGTTACCGTTTGTTCTCCAGAGGGGAAGGGGCCTGGTTTGGCTGCCCTTGACAGCAGCCCCAGAAGACCGGGAGGGGGGTGGTTTTTCTAGGCAGGTGACCAGAAGGGAGGCTGCTGGAGCCCGTGTAAGGGCCACCTAATGCACCCTGCCAGGGAGCAGTCGCATCTGCTCACTCGGAACCCAGAACCCTTGCAGCCCCTTCTAAGGGACCAGAGTCAAAAATGGCAAGGGTAGAGAATGTGCTGTTTTATTTCACCTAATAAGCTGGCTAGCCTGGCCCCGTAGACCAGCACAAGTGATCGCAGGCTTCCGGTCACGTCCACATTTTACCAGGTATACTTTCCTGGCAGCCTCGCTCCATGAGCCCCCTCTTCAGAGGTCTTTGTGCGGGCCCGGCCTTACTCGGGAAACCCTAGACTGGCAGCTTCAGCTGTCTCTGCCAGAGAAGCCTCCTGTACCCAGGTAACTCAGCCCCCTGCCGTCGAGTCAATTCTGACTCCCAGGGACCTGTAAGGCAGGGAGAACTGCTTCCTAGGGTTTCCGAGACTTAACTCTTTATGGGAACTGAGGGCCTCATATTTCTCCCCAGGGACGGCCGGTGGGTTTGAACGGCTGCCCATGCCGTCAGCAGCCTGACTAGCCACCTGGAACGTGAGAAGGTGGATAGCATTCTGTGATGCACTGCCTCTCATACACGCACACCCTCACTCCTTTTCACACTCACTGTGACCAGAGGGGACGGCTGGTTCTGCAGCCCGTGAACCCCGGGTGGAACCAGCCGAGGAGATAGCCCAGCCCCAGGTTGGACAGGCCCTGGATGAGGCTGTCAGCCTGCATGGTCTACTGAAAGGCCTTCAAAGCAGGAGAATGTCGGGGGTCAGGTGCGAGCAGAGTTAGCAGTCAGGCGGGACTCCACCGCTTCACGGGTCACCTTGGCCACTGTGTTTAACTCCTTCTCAAAGAACAAAGAACACTCACTGCCACAGAGTGGGTGTCGACTCATAGTGACTCAGTAGCACAGGGTCCAATAGCCCCCTGTGAGCTTCCGAGACGGAAAGCCCAGTCTTTCTCCCCCGGAGTAACCACTATGCCACAGGGCTCCTTTTTAACCCACCCTGCAGTCCCTCGATTCCTGTTTAACGTGGAGGTGGCAGCCAGCAAACGGGATGAGCTGGGAGGGGAAAGGCATCGGAGGGTTTGAGATTCTTGAGCCCAGAACCGGGGGTGCAGGACTGTTCATCTGCTGGTATCACAAACCCCACGATGATTGAGGGGGGCACTTCCCACCCCCTCAAGGGGCTGGATCCCTACTCCTCGGGCATTTCAGAATCCGAGTGCACAGAACTGTGTGTTTCCAATGCTGGGCTAAATCTCCTGAACTTAATAGATGTAGGTCACTGTAGACAGACCGCTCACATCAGCAGCTACCAGCCACCTGCACCTACTCGGCCAGCTCCCCCAGACTGCTCCCACCCACAGCTCCAGGGGACGTGCCACAGGTCCCTGTCCTCCTCAGGGGAACCTTGTCCAGGAGAAGTGACTCGTTCTGAATCCAGAACACTGATTGCTGAGCAAAACGTAAGGTGACCAGATTTTAACATTGGTAAAGCGGGACACCATTGATAAAACTCACATCCTGGCGAAGTAGCCACATGGCAGCCGAAAACCGTATACCCTAGTTTGTCGTGCATTCTTTCCAAAAATCAGGACGTTTTAAAACGCCACAGGACGAGGGACAAATTGTCAAAAATCGGGACTGTCCCGCCAAAAGCGGGATGTCTGGTCACCGTAAGCAAAAGCCAACGGAACAAAGGCTTACACACACACACACACACACACACACACACACACACACACACACACACACACACACACACACACACACACACACACACACATACGATAATTTCCCCACAGAGCAGACACCCTCAATTCCCAAGGCTTTGTGGCTCTCCAGCTGGCCTCTCCCTTTAGGGAAGAGGTAACACCTGACTGCAGACAGCTCCCTTTTCCTAGCTTTATTTCATTTACCCTCAATTTAAAAAAAATGTTTAATACTTTTTTTTAAAAAGTGTCACACTTGGCACTAGCTCTTGGTTCTGAATAACACTTCTAGTTTCAATGATTGATCTTTTAAGCTTTCAACAAATTGCTCTTATCATTGCAAGAGAACCTGGCATGGGGGTGGGGGGGCAGGGCATGGCTACGGCCCATATTCCTGGGCTCACCCTGTTGAAAACCAGGCTGGACCGTCGCTGGATCGGGATCTGCCTTGCTGGGAGCAACCAAGCCTCATGTGCAGGTCCTATATGAAGCCTATGGTTCACCGACAGGTGTCTCAGCTCGAGGGACGGGGGCTGGAGCTGGCAGGACCTGAACTCCTGAGGTCTGGGCATCTCTCCTGAACTACCCTCAAAAGGAGCTGGGAGCCCAGCTTGCAGGAGGAGACGTGTCTTTGGAAGAAGGGAGTGTTCTGAAACACTGGCCAGAGTCGAGCCAACTCTCGGTGACTGCAGCTGCTGAACCAGGAAGTGGTTTCGTGAATGGCAGGGCAGGGCAGAGATGGGCTCTCAGGGCCGTTTGGAGAGCTAGGCCTTTCACTGTGGAGAGGAGCAAACGGAGGGGAACTTTTCTTCCATTTGGGGTGGTGGGGTGCACGTTCACCCCTCTCCCCATTTGCACGCCTAACATGGCCAACAAGTCAATGGTTGA